CAATTCTGTGTCCCTCAGTAACAATTCTGTGTCTGTCCCTGAGTAACAATTATGTGGCCCTAAGTAACGGTTCTGTGGCCCTCAGTAACAATTCTGTGTCCCTGATTAACGTTTATGTGGCCCTAAGTAACGGTTCTGTGGCCCTCAGTAACAAATTTGTGTCCCTGAGTAACAATTCTGTGTCTATCCCTGAGTAACAATTCTGTGGCCCTAAGTAACGGTTCTGTGGCCCTCAGTAACAATTCTGTGTCCCTCAGTAACAATTCTGTGTCCCTCAGTAACAATTCTGTGTCCCTCCCTGATTAACGTTTACGTGGCCCTAAGTAACGGTTCTGTGGCCCTCAGTAACAATTCTGTGTCCCTGATTAATTCTTTCTGTGGCCCTAAGTAACGGTTCTGTGGCCCTCAGTAACAATTCTGTGTCCCTGATTAACGTTTCTGTGGCCCTAAGTAACGGTTCTGTGGCCCTCAGTAACAATTCTGTGTCCCTGAGTAACAATTCTGTGTCTGTCCGAGTAACAATTCTGTGGCCCTAAGTAACAGTTCTGTGGCCCTCAGTAACAATTCTGTGTCCCTGAGTAACAAATCTGTGGCCCTAAGTAACGGTTCTGTGGCCCTCAGTAACAATTCTGTGTCCCTGATTAACGTTTCTGTGTCTCCCTAAGTAACGGTTCTGTGGCCCTCAGTAACAATTCTGTGTCCCTCAGTAACAATTCTGTGTCTGTCCCGTGAGTAACAATTCTGTGGCCCTAAGTAACGGTTCTGTGGCCCTCAGTAACAATTCTGTGTCCCTGATTAACGTTTATGTGGCCCTAAGTAACGGTTCTGTGGCCCTCAGTAACAATTCTGTGTCCCTCAGTAACAATTCTGTGTCTGTCCCTGAGTAACAATTCTGTGGCCCTAAGTAACGGTTCTGTGGCCCTCAGTAACAATTCTGTGTCCCTGAGTAACAATTCTGTGGCCCTAAGTAACGGTTCTGTGGCCCTCAGTAACAATTCTGTGTCCCTCAGTAACAATTCTGTGTCTGTCCCTGAGTAACAGTTCTGTGGCCCTCAGTAACAATTCTGTGTCCCTGAGTAACAATTCTGTGGCCCTAAGTAACGGTTCTGTGGCCGCTAAGTAACGGTTCTCCCTCAGTAACAATTCTGTGTCCCTGAGTAACAATTCTGTGGCCCTAAGTAACGGTTCTGTGGCCCTCAGTAACAATTCTGTGTCCCTCAGTAACAATTCTGTGTCTGTCCCTGAGTAACAATTCTGTGGCCCTAAGTAACGGTTCTGTGGCCCTCAGTAACAATTCTGTAGTAACAATTCTGTGTCCCTGAGTAACAATTCTGTGGCCCTTAGTAACGTTTCTGTGGCCCTAAGTAACAATTCTGTGGCCCTCAGTAACAATTCTGTGTCCCTGAGTAACAATTCTGTGTCTGTCCCTAAGTAACAATTCTGTGGCCCTAAGTAACGGTTCTGTGGCCCTCAGTAACAATTCTGTGTCCCTGAGTAACGTTTCTGTGGCCCTAAGTAACAATTCTGTGGCCCTCAGTAACAATTCTGTGTCTGTCCCTGAGTAACAATTCTGTGGCCCTAACTAACGTTTCTGTGGCCCTAAGTAACAATTCTGTGGCCCTCAGTAACAATTCTGTCTGTCCCTGAGTAACAATTCTGTGGCCCTAACTAACGTTTCTGTGGCCCTAAGTAACAATTCTCTGGCCTCTCAGTAACAATTCTGTCTGTCCCTGAGTAACAATTCTGTGGCCCTAACTAACGTTTCTGTGGCCCTAAGTAACAGTTCTGTGGCCCTCAGTAACAATTCTGTTGTCCCTGAGTAACGTTTCTTCTGTGGCCCTAAGTAACAATTCTGTGGCCCTCAGTAACAATTCTGTGTCTGTCCCTGAGTAACAATTCTGTGGCCCTAAGTAACGTTTCTGTGGCCCTAAGTAACAGTTCTGTGGCCCTCAGTAACAATTCTGTGTCTGTCCCTGAGTAACAATTCTGTGGCCCTAACTAATGTTTCTGTGGCCCTAAGTAACAATTCTGTGGCCTCTCAGTAACAATTCTGTGTCTGTCCCTGAGTAACAATTCTGTGGCCCTAACTAACGTTTCTGTGGCCCTAGTAACAGTTCTGTGGCCCTCAGTAACAATTCTGTGTCTGTCCCTGAGTAACAATTCTGTGGCCCTAACTAACGTTTCTGTGGCCCTAAGTAACAATTCTCTGGCACTCAGTAACAATTCTGTCTGTCCCTGAGTAACAATTCTGTGGCCCTAATAACGTTTCTGTGGCCCTAAGTAACAGTTCTCTGTGGCACTCAGTAACAATTCTGTCTATCCCTGAGTAACAATTCTGTGGCCCTAATAACGTTTCTGTGGCCCTAAGTAACAGTTCTGTGGCCCTCAGTAACAATTCTGTGTCTGTCCCTGAGTAACAATTCTGTGGCCCTAACTAACGTTTCTGTGGCCCTAAGTAACAATTCTCTGGCACTCAGTAACAATTCTGTCTGTCCCTGAGTAACAATTCTGTGGCCCTAACTAGCGTTTTTTGGCCCTAAGTAACGATTCTGTGGCCCTCATTAACAATTCTGTGTCCCTGAGTAATGCTTCTCTGTCCCTAAGTAACGTTTCTCTGTCCCCAAGTAACGTTTCTGTGGCCCTAACTCTGTCCCTAATACAGAGCGGTCTGCCTCTCTTGAATGACTGGAGGCAAATGAAGAATTCTAAAATGGCCGCTATTTATAGCTCGACCATTACACAGTGCTGGCTGGCTGGCTGCTGATTGGCTAATGCGATCACATGTCATTAAGGAATGCATTATGGGTCAGCGCGCCTTGTCTGCGCGCCTTCCCAGACATCCCCGCTCCGTCGCCGCACATGTCCGCCGCCATTTTAGGAAAAATTTCGATTCGCGCGTCCGAAGAAGTAGGCTATTTTTCGGATTCGGCGCGAATCGAAAATTTTCCAATATTCGACTCGAATTCCACTTCGCCTACTTCGATTCGCTCATCTCTAATCTGCACATTGAACTTTGGAGATCTTAAAGGGCCAGTATCCAACGTTAAGAATTGGTATAAACATGATGTCTGCATGTTAAAACTTCCAGGGACAGCCCCTATTAACATAGGTAAGCTGTACATTGGAAGGGCCGCATCCACAGCTGATTCCCAGGACGATGTCACTGGGGGGGGCACCCAGAGTTCCACTTTAAAAGAATCCCTTTTTTTAGCATAGTAGAGGAGATAGGAGATCAGCAATTTCAAGTGGTGGGACCATTGCATATCATCATGAAGCCCCAACCATGCGAAGGCAGGTGAAGGGGTCAGGGACAGCTGCAGTTGTACATTGATCATATCTAAAACATCAGACCAGAAAAAAAAAATTCCAGGGTATGTTCACAACGTGTAATAAAGTATCCGGATGTCAGTGGCAACGAGGACAGGTAGATCTGGGAGAGCTTCAAGAGGGTATAATAAACCCTATATTGAAATTAGATTTGTATAAGCATACCCCTGGAGGAGATAACCAACCCTGTTCTAGAGCCTCTGTCCAATCCTCATCCAGAGAAGGGATATTCTCTTTCCATATGGCCCATACCTTCTCAACCTTAGGGGAGTTAACACTAAGCAATGTTCTATAAAGGGCAGACAGTGGCTTTTGAAGGTCTTTCTGAGTCAACAAATCCTCAATAGTGTCCCCCTGGAGGATATATGGTCATGGGAACTGGGGGCCCTGGCCATATGCCGCAGTTGAAAGAGCATTCTCCGTGGGAGATGGAATTTTTGGGATAGCTGAGAGAATTGTAATAATACCCAAGAGGGCATAACATTAGCCAAGGGTCCTAATACCATATCTTGCCCAGAGGTGCGGGTTGGGGATGGAATGGAAGTGAGGAAGTGCAGGAACCCAAAGGGGTTGAGCCGGAGAGATGTGGTCAGGTTGAAGAAATCGTCATCTAGTCGAAACCAAGATTTGCATAGTAGCCTGCATTGGCCCAGGGATAGTATCATAAGCCCTACGTCCCCGATAAGGAATGTTATGGAGATTAACTAGAGATCTCAGGTAGGCTGCTTCCAAGCAGACGGCAGCATTGGACCTAAATCCCCCAAACCACCAATACACCAACACCAGCATCACAGCCCAGATATTAACATATTTATAAGCAGCTGATACAGTATAGTGATGTATCCTGTGGTGACTTTATTGGTTGCCTTAATGTTTATTAAGGTACAAGGTGGCAGAGTTTACTACCGCTTTAACACAAAGATCCTCCTTTAACATAACTGAAACTGTCACATTTGCCAAACAGCTTTGCATTTTGCAGGAATTAAAATAATGGGTCTACTGGCAAGACCAAAAAGTGATAAAACTATGTTACAGGGAGGGGACTAATGTAACACTGCTACGGTAATGGTACTGACAGACTGCATGATATACTGTATTTAATTATTTACTTTGCCAGTAGTTCAACTATACTTTTTGCAATTCTATTTCCAGAGAATAGTACATATCAACACTCCTCCTGTTGCATATGGTGAAGGTCTTGCAGGTGTTGGGGTGGCCTCTGAGCTTAGCTTGAGAACTGCAGTTTGAACAGCCTGGAGTGGCCCCTACTGAGCTCAGTTGGACAGGGGAGAATGCACTGCGCACATGTGCAGTTTAAACAGCCAGAAAATGCCGCTAGGGGGCGCATTATTGTGATGATCAGCCTATCCTACAAAGGATGGAGGAGGGATGAGGGGCCAGCATTTGTTCTGCAGAGCCACCAACAGCTGAATCTGTAATGGAAGGACCTTCACAATTTACAACAGGAGGAGCTCTAGTATACACTATTCATTGGATGGGTATTTACTGGTATATACTGTTCAACAGAAATGGGGATGATTCAAATCAACTGTATGCAAACACACTGCAAAATACACTATATTGCCAAAAGTATGGGACACCTCTCCAAATCATTGAATTCAGGTGTTCCAATCACCTCCATAGCCACAGGTGTATAAAATCATCACCTAGGCATGCAGACTGCTTCTACAAATATTTGTGAAAGAATGGGTCGCTCTCAGGAACTCAATAAAATCAAGTGTTGTACCATGGTAGGTTGTCACCTGTGCAATAAGTCCATCCATGACATTTCCTTGTTACTAAATATTCCACGGTCAACTGTTAGTGATATTAAACCAAAGTGGAAGCAACTGAAGTGGTAGGCCACGTAAAATGACAGAGCGGGGTCAGCACATGCTGAAGCGCACAGTGCGCAGACATCACCAACTGTCTGCAGAGTCGATAGGTAAAGACCTCCAAACTTCATGTGGCCTTCATATTGGCACAACAACAGTGCGTAGAGAGCTTCATGGAATGGGTTTCCAAGGCAGAGCAGCTGCATCTAAGCCTTACATCACCAAGGGCAATGCAGAGCATCAGATGCAGTTGTGTAAAGCACGCCACCACTGGACTCTATAGCAATGGCGACGTGTTCTCTGGAGTGACCAAGGGAGAATATCTCCAGCACACCGAGGATTACCAATATGGGTCCAAACGTTTTAATGAACAATCACATAGTTATAGCAGGACAACATTCCAGAGTCTCGTAGGACCCCTTCATCAGGGGTCACATGCCTGATGAAGGGGTCCTGCGAGACTCCAAAATGTTGCCTTGCTGTATGTGATAATTTATTAAAACTTTTGGACCCATATTGGTGATCCTCAGTGTGCTCCCTTGCAGATTCTGTTTGGTTCCAGCTGACGTTCGCTGCAGCACTCACTTATACACACAGCCATTTTTAACTCAGTAATGTGTGCGTTTGGATTGTACACTTGGACTCTGGAATGACCAATCACACTTCTCTATCTGGCAATCCTATGAACGTGTCTGGGTTTGGCGGTTGCCAGGAGAACAGGCAAACGTTCCCATAGGCACACTCCTAAACCTTGTGGACAGCCTTGCCAGAAGAGCTGAAACTGTTATAGCTGCAAAGGGCGGGGCCAACTCAATATTGGATCCTATGGATTAAGATTGGAATGCCATTAAAATTCATGTGCGTATAAAGGAAGGCATCCCAATTCTTTTGGTAATATAGTGTATATTCCCATGGGCAAAAAGTTAAAAAAAGACTAAAGAGAAACCCCATGTGACTCATGTCCAGGGTTAAAATAGCTATAAATATTGAGAAAATGTATTTAAAAATATATACAAAATGAAGGAACACTATCATATTTTAAAGATTACAAAGAATATAACAGAATATGTAAAAAAGCTAGCAAGGCTGCGGAAATTGAAAATGAACCTCAGGTTGCAGAGTATGACAACCCCCCCAAAATTCTTCAAATATATTGACAGTAAAAATGTCAGGTCTAAGCATTTAGCTCTTTACTACATAATTTTGAGCTGGTTACCCAGAACATGGAGAAGACCAATGTATTAACTAGCTTCTTCAGCTATCTGTATACAAAAGAAAATGGAGAAGTTCAAGTTCATAATGGGGTTAGTTTTGACACAGCCCTAAATGATCCACAGTGACATGGTCCAGAAACATTTAGACAAAATAAAGGTGAATAAAACACCTGGACCAGATGGTTTACATCCATGGGTCCTCAGACAGCTGTGCTCTGTTATATCCAAGCCATTGTTTCTAATTTTAGAGACTATTTAATAACTGGCATGGAACCACTGGATTGGTGTAATGCCAAGGTGGTTCCTATATTTAAAAATGGATAAACGTTTTTACCAAGTAACTACAAACTGGTTAGCTTCTATAGTCAGGAACTCAACTCTTCAACTTTTCCCTCTTTCTAAAAGGAGTTCCTCCTCAATCAGATTCTTTACTACACAATGAACTAACTCAATTACCTGTTATGTATTCCCCTATGCAGGGGTGATGAGTGCAAAATAATTCACATAGCAACAACCAGAGTGGACCATGATAAATGCTTAAAGATCCCTGCTCAGGCTGCCAAAGTCTGGTGAGCTGGATGACCAGTGAGGGTGCAGGCTGAGGAAAGGTCCGTCCAGACCCAAAGCATGCTGCAAAAGTAGAAAGAGGTAGGCCAGCCATATCACACCTCACCCGAGTAGCAAGCAGTTAAAAGCAGCCTCAGCTCGATTCACCCAGACCATGTCTCATAATTATGATCTCCATGATTAAAAATGTTGGAGACATGGTCTGGATGAATCAAGCTTTTACTTGCTTACCAGTCTGGCCATGTGAGGTGTATGGCAGCCAGCCTACCTCATTCTATTCTAACAACCAGAGTGGAACCTTCCCTTGACTGTGCTACACACTGTGAGGAGTAACTTTTTAGAGTGTATTGCAAATTACCCCCATAACTATTTTGAAACAAGACACTAGTCCATTGAGTAAGAAAAAAAAACCCTAAACTTGTATTTGACCCACAGAAAAAAGTAAATATCCTTAAAATCATGGTGCAACTTACTCCAATAGATAAACATTCTTTCCTATCCCATTTTGTATGCAATCTATTGGGTCAGCTAGACTATCTTCATATCTTTATATCTCTTGCTGGGAAGAACCCTTCCCTTAAAGAGAAGTCGAACCTCCTTATCTTCAACCAAAACGAGTGTCCTTTAGTTTTTTTGCTGTGACCATAAAGTAAACAATTTCCCACTAAGTCCAATATATACAGTATAGACCAATTAGGTATTTATAAAAATGATCATATCACCACTTCGTCACTTTTTTGCAAATGATCTTACATTCATTTCAGTTAGTAAAATTCCTCATGGCTCAGATCCTTTTATGCCCTTTATTAATTTATTTGTCCATTTCTGAACTGGCTGTACAATCTTTTTGTAAACTGGTGCACTAAATCTAAACTGTAGAGTAGTCCTTATTTCTGCCTAAAACTAGCTTATGTGTATTAGGAGTTTAGATATATTGATATTGTGAAATAAAGTTTTGTCCGAAAAGGATAAATATTGTTTTGTGACTGAGGATCATTATATTCTCTTTCATTTATTTTCGGCGAATAGGTAATCACTTACACCAAATCATTTTACAAAAAAAAAAAAAAGTGTGGTTTGTGTATTAATTGATCTCCTTGGTGCATTATCCTTTGTGATTAAAACATTATATATAGTCATAGAGAAAGGAAACTGATGGAAGCGTGAATGTATTTTCTGCTCTCCCTATGTAGTATTAGTATTCACCAATTCTGGAGTGTGTCCTTTAATTCACGGTGATATACAGCGGGCTCTTGAAAGATAAATAGAGGTAATCCATTTGAAGTTGGAAAACAAGTTCCTCGCTTCTATTCTTTCACATATCTTTGTCATTATGTATAGTAAAAATTATATAAATTGTTTTTTTAACTCCTCTACCAAAAAATATCAAAATATAAATATTATTTTAAATATTTGCTTTAAATATAAAGTTAATTCTTTAAATATAAAGTAACAGAAGACACTTTAAAGGAACACAATGAAAATGCCTAGCATTATATTGTACAATAAATAATGGGAAGCAAAATGTGCAACAAACTAATAGTATCACTAGAACAAACAGCAAGAGAAAATTTTTTGGTGATTTTGTTGATATTAAAAGACCTGTTTACAGTCAATAAGTGTTACCTGAAATTAATATACTTTGGGTTTTAATATCTCTAGTAATTCAATTTGGTAAAGAGAGAGTGTATACACTTGAATGGCAGTTTAACATAACAACAGGAATGTATGGGTATATAATAAAATGAACTTAATACAGCCAACTGATAATTTATTCCTAGGCAGAGAAATTATTAAGCATGCTCCAACACAGTGTTTCTCAACCTTTTCTTCAGTCAAGGCACCCTTTAAAATTATGGACAATTTCAAGGCACCCTCTAAAATTATGGACAGTCCTGAAGCACCCTTTAAAATTATGGACAGTCCTGAGGCACCCCATTCCAAAATGTAAAAATCTATTCTAACAGTTTTATATAGCACAGCAACATCCAAACACGTAGGGCACCCAATGGTAGAGGTGTTTTATTCTTCCAAATCAAATACACTTTTGTACACTGGTACTGACTAGTATTGAAGTATTTTTCTCTGTTTTTCTCCATCACTGTGCTAATGTGAACCCAGCACTGATGGAGAGGGGCAGGGGAGGGTCAAACAAGGATGCTGTGAAGGCAACTGACATCCTCCTTATCAACTGATGATGACATTGGTTGTCGGTGGCTAGAAGGTCGTAATGGTGCACAATGAAAACCTGTGACTTTGTGTAACTAAAAGTCAAGCTTCTTCCACTCACTGGCTTGTATACACGTTTTGTGCAACTTTTAGACATCTTGCCAAGGCACCCCTGAAGAAATCTCAAGGCACCCCAGGGTGCCTGGGCACCCTGGTTGAGAAAGGCTGCTCCATACATACATCACAGTATTAAATACACAGACACTGAGACAAGACATAGGGCAAACATATATAAATGCCATAGATATATCCAATAATTACCATTGCGGGCCTATTCTGGTGTTCTGGTGGTCTCTCTTTGTTTCCCCTCAATTGTCCAGATCTTTATAGACCTAGCTTCTATAGACTTGGGCCGTAGATTATGCAATTGTCTCTCCTTCAACCAAGGGTTCCCCCATCACACAGTCAGTGTTGTGGACAGCACTGGCAGGGGAATGCCAGAAGAGAAGGAAAGCAACTTTTCCATGCAGTATCATTGCTCAGAGCAGGTAAGTAGAACCTCCTTTTTAATTTATTTATTTTTAATTACCTTTGGTATCATTTTCAGCTTTTATTCCATAGTGAGAAAGGTTACCATTTTTAAAAAATAATTGTTTGAAAATGTATTTAGTAATAGTAATGCCAAATTAAGCATTTAAAGCAGAATTAAAGGGGTCTATACACACTTTTCCTACAATGGTCCTTGTCTCTTGCTAGTGCCAGTATCTTCTTCTGTGTGACAGTATTCAGCTGCCTTCATTGGCCGATGCAGGATGACATTGCTCCTGTGCATGCGCAAGAGGCAGTCATCCTGGCACAGAGGGATCGGGCCATCACTGTAAGTTGAGTTGCTCATTTGCAGCTCGGTTTACATCGCTGGAAAAGACAGCAATCAGCAACGCTATGTCTACATGCACTCTGATGATGGGTGCATGGCATTTCTCATGTCTGGTTTTTGGATGGTGGCAGAAAGTGGACAAGGCTTGCATATTGCATGTTAAAAGGCCCAATGGTAGCATCCATATGTGACCATGCAGAGCACAGTTAGGAGACAAGTACAAAACATTTTCATTCTGTAATGGGAAGTGCCTGAACAAGGACCCTCATTGCAGGATCGCCAGTTATTATTCAATGATAGTGACAAAGTAAATGTACCCGGTTCGGTGAACAATGCTAAATTTTGGATGCCGACTCCAAGCCCAATTGCTAAAAAAGAGTAATTGCAAATGTCTAGGCTAAAAAGCAAGACATTGTAAAACAAATTGCATGGGGGGCTGGGCAATACCCTGAGGAACATGCACCAAATGATTTATTTTTAAATTTCCACTTCAATGCCGATTTGAGGACCAATTCTGACATAAATTGGCATTATTTGAGTTTTAGCCATGTTAAGCTTAAAGTTTCACTAAACCCGCAACAGCAAAATCAGTCTGTATATGCAGTAAAGCATGCTTGTTATACTCACTGTGGAACCTCTAAGGGGTTAATCTTCCAGTCTGTTTGACCCTGTCTTCTCTGTTCCTCCCCTTTTTTCTACTGTCCCTAATCCATCTGCTGATAAAACAGAGCTTTGGTGGCAAGCTGCACATGCTCAGTTTGACATGTATTGCTAGATACATTTTTTTTTTCCTTGCGAGAGTGAATGTGATCAGCACAGGGCCAATCAGCACTGTCCAAACAGAAGGTCACGGGTCATGCAGCCTCATAGGACAATCAAGGGAGAATTAAAAGTCCTACAAGCTTTAACCAGTGCTCAGCAAAACACTGATAGAAGTCACAAGACTGCTATATACTGCTGGCAAGAAAAGGTATTTAGCAGTTTATATTTACTAAAATAATTGCATTTTCATGTTCTGTGTACTGTGGGAGACCAGATATAGTGAATGCAGCGTCCGTGGAGAGCGGATATGGTGAATGCAGGGTCTGGGGAGACCGAATATAGTGAATGCAGGGTCCGGGGACACCGGATATAGTGAATGCAGGGGCCGGGGAGACCAGATATAGTGAATGCAAGGTCCGGGGAGACCAGATATAGCGAATACAGGGTTCGGGGATAGTGGATATGGTGAATGCAGGGTCCGGGGAGAGCGGATATAGTGAATGCAGGGTCTGGGGAGACCAGATATAGTGAATGCAGGGTCCGGGGGAGAGCGGATATAGTGAATGCAGGGTCTGGGGAGAGCGGATATAGTGAATGCAGGGTCCGGGGAGACCAAATATAGTGAAGGCAGGGTCTGGGGAGAGCAGATATAGTGAATGCAGGGTCCGGGGAGACCGGATATAGTGAATGCAGGATCCAGGGAGACCGGATATAGTGAATGTAGGATCCGGGGAGAGCGGATATAGTGAATGCAGGGTCCGGGGAGAGCAGATATAGTGAATGCAGGATTCGGGGAGACTGGATATAGTGAATGCAGGGTCCGGGGAGACCAGATATAGTGAATGCAGGGTCCGGGAGAACAGATATAGTGAATGCAGGGTCTGGGGAGACCAAATATAGTGAAGGCAGGGTCCGGGGAGACAGGATATAGTGAATGCAGGGTCTGGAGAGAGCGGATATAGTGAATGCAGGGTCCGGGGAGACCGGATATAGTGAATGTAGGGTCCGGGGAGACCAGATATAGTGAATGCAGGGTCCGGGGAGACCAAATATAGTGAATGCAGGGTCCGGGGAGACCGGATATAGTGAATGCAGGGTCCGGGGAGACCAGATATACTGAATGCAGGGTTCGGGGAGACCAGATATAGTGAATGCAGGGTCTGGGGAGAACAGATATAGTGAATGCAGGGGCCGGGGAGACCAGATATAGTGAATGCAGGGCCCGGGGAGAACAGATATAGTGAATGCAGGGTCCGGGGAGACCGGATATAGTGAATGAAGGGTCCGGGGAGAGCGGATATAGTGAATGCAGGGTCTGGGGAGACCAGATATAGTGAATGCAGGGTCCGGGGAGAGACCGCGGATATAGTGAATGCAGGGTCTGGGGAGAGCGGATATAGTGAATGCAGGGTCCGGGGAGACCAAATATAGTGAATGCAGGGTCTGGGGAGAGCAGATATAGTGAATGCAGGGTCCGGGGAGACGGATATAGTGAATGCAGGGTCCAGGAGAGACGGATATAGTGAATGCAGGGTCCGGGGAGAGCGGATATAGTGAATGCAGGGTCCGGGGAGAGCAGATATAGTGAATGCAGGGTTGGGGAGACAGATATAGTGAATGCAGGGTCCGGGGAGACCAGATATAGTGAATTGCAGGGTCCAGGGAGAACAGATATAGTGAATGCAGGGTCCCTGGGGAGATAAATATAGTGAAGGCAGGGTCCGGGGAGACAGGATATAGTGAATGCAGGGTCCGGGGAGAGCAGATATAGTGAATGCAGGATTCGGGGAGACTGGATATAGTGAATGCAGGGTCCGGGGAGACCAGATATAGTGAATGCAGGGTCCGGGGAGAACAGATATAGTGAATGCAGGGTCTGGGGAGACCAAATATAGTGAAGGCAGGGTCCGGGGAGACAGGATATAGTGAATGCAGGGTCTGGAGAGAGCGGATATAGTGAATGCAGGGTCCGGGGAGACCGGATATAGTGAATGCAGGGTCCGGGGAGACCAGATATAGTGAATGCAGGGTCCGGGGAGACCAAATATAGTGAATGCAGGGTCCGGGGAGACCGGATATAGTGAATGCAGGGTCCGGGGAGACCGGATATACTGAATGCAGGGTTCGGGGAGACCAGATATAGTGAATGCAGGGTCTGGGGAGAACAGATATAGTGAATGCAGGGTCCGGGGAGAACAGATATAGTGAATGCAGGGTCCAGGAGACCAAATATAGTGAATGCAGGGTCCGGGGAGACCAGATATAGTGAATGCAGGGTCCGTGGAGACCAGATATAGGGAATGCAGGGTCCGGGGAGACCAGATATAGGGAATGCAGGGTCCGGGGAGACCAGATATAGGAATGCAGGGTCCTGGGAGACCAGATATAGTGAATGTAGGGTCCTGGGAGACCAGATATAGGGAATGCAGGGTCCTGGCAGACCAGATATAGGGAATGTAGGGTGCAGGGAGATCGGATATAGTGAATGCGGGGTCCGGGGAGACCAGATATAGTGAATGCGGGGTCCGGGGAGCCAGTCTGGGGAGAGCGGATATAGTGAATGCAGGGTGCAGGGAGAGCGGGAATGCAGGGTCCGGGGAGAGACCAGGATATAGTGAATGCAGGGTCCGGGGAGACCGGATATAGTGAATGCACTGTGCGGGGAGAGCGGATATAGTGAATGCAGGGTACGGGGGAGAGCGGATATAGTGAATGCGGGGTCCGGGGAGACCAGATATAGTGAGGGGTCCGGGGAGAGCCCAGTCTGGGGAAATATATAGTGAATGCAGGGTGCAGGGAGAGCGGATATAGTGAATGCAGGGTCCGGGGAGACCAGATATAGTGAATGCAGGGTCCGGGGAGACCGGATATAGTGAATGCACTGTGCGGGGAGAGCGGATATAGTGAATGCAGGGTACGGGGAGAGACCGGATATAGTGAATGCAGGGTGCGGGGAGACCGGATATAGTGAATGCACTGTGCGGGGAGAGCGGATATAGTGAATGCAGGGTCCGGGGAGACCAGATATAGTGAATGCAGGGTACGGGGAGACCGGATATAGTGAATGCAGGGTGCAGGGAGAGCGGATATAGTGAATGCAGGCTCCTGGGTTTAGTAACACTTTAATACTCTAGCAAGAAGTATGCAGATAAGGATTTCTGACATAAATAATCTGCGATCTGACTGTACATTGTAACTTTGTATATGGTCACAAAATGAGAGGTTGCAGCAGAGGCTGATCTGAACCAGACATTTGTGAACACAGCCAAGAACAGCACAGGCACTAGAATTGACATGATTGTATCATCTTGGAGCTAGCATCTCAGTTCAAGAAGTAGATGGTGACCCCGGATGATGACCAAACAAAGATGGAGTGATCCTTATGGAGACTAAAACAGATAAAGTCATTTTCAGGGGAGTACTGCAGTCTCTGCGAATGGTATTAAATACCAATATGCTCACACATTTCTTAGCATGTGATGCTAGGTCCACTTTAAAATGTAACAATAACAGATCTTTTTTGAGCTATTTAGAATGCAGAGGAAATCTTTTTTGCATTTTTTTTGTTATATTTATGACTCAGATGTAAGATGCATACAGGCAGGGTCACCTTTAGAAATTGTGGGGCTCCATACAATGATAAGGCCCCTGCCTGACAGGTTTCCCTCAGCCTGCCCTAGCAGATTTATATAGAAGAGGCCAGAATTTTAATTTAATTGACAGGAGATGTGGCATGGAGGATTTCTCTGCCTGCTCCTGAAAAAAAGTAAATAGTTCCCTCTCTGCCTTTGGCCCCTGCTGCTCAAATTGATGGGGCCCAGGAAAATGTTATTCTCTGGGGCTATAGCTTGTGGGATTACTCTGCATGCGCAAAAATGTATTTAAATTGTCCCCTCTTGGCCCCTGTACTTCTTGCTGAACATACACTCACCGACCACTTTATTAGGTCCACATGTTAAATTGCTTGGTAACACAAATTGCTAATCAGCCAATCACATGGCAGCAACCCAATGCATTTAGGTATCTAGATGTGGTGAAGACGACTTATATTTGAAGTTTAAACCATACATCAGAATGAGAAAAAAAAGGGGATTTAAGTGACTTTTAATGTGGTATGGTTGTTGGTGCCAGACGAGCTGGTCTGAGTATTTAAAAAACTGCTGATCTGCTGGGATTTTCACACACATCCATCTCTAGGGTTTACAGAGAATGGTCCGAAAAAGAGAAAGTATCCAGTGAGTGGCAGTTGTGTGGACAAAAATTCCTTGTTGAGTTCAGAGGAGCATGGCCATCCCGTTATGACTACAGTGTACCCATCTTCTGATGGCTACTTCCAGCAGGATAATGCTTATAATAATTCCAACACCTCGTTGAATCTATGCCGTGAAAAATTAACCTCCCTGGCGGTCTGATTATGTCAGTATTTCTGTGCTCAAAGCGGTACATTGTTTTCAATGGAAATATGTTGTTTTTTTATTGTAGGCCTGTAATTCTTAGGAATAACTCACTGAAATCTGTCTGAACAAGAGTCTAGTAAACATCCCGGGTATGATAAAACTTGAAACACGAAATCATAAATTATAATATAATAAATAATCATAGAAAATAATAATATAATAATAATAAATTGAATTCAATAATATAATCAAACCAAAAACACTGAAATGTGAAATATAGCGCCAAGTTCGCACATCATTGAGCAAAGTCGCAGAATCGTTTTCAGTGTCTGATGAGGAATTTCCCCCACAAAATCATTATCACTCAATTCTGCAAGTGGTTCTAATTTACTATCGCTGTTCTCTAGCCGGTCTAAAACCGCTTTTGACCTAAAGGGACGCTTTTTGGATGCCATGGACTTTTCTCAGTTTCCAGGCAGAAAGAATGGTAAAATTGCAGGCAGGGCACAGGACTGAAAGTTAACCCCGAGCTACACTCGGGAATACCGCCAGGGGGGTTAAGGAAGTTCTGAGGCAAAAGGGGGTCCAACCCAATACTAGCAAGGTTTGCCGAATAAAATGGCCGGTGAGTGCAAGTGGCCTGGTGCAGGAGGGCCAGCACTACCTCCCTATCAGCATCCCTGCATATAGAAGTTAATATACTGTATATTTGTTTTTTTATTTGGAAGTTGGAATGTTTATTGGTACATTTTGTTCTCTTCCTTTTTATTACCCTTACCCTCAATATTGCCCCTATAGAGTTTCTACCTGCATAAGGAAATTCCCAAAATATCTAAATTAATACATGGAATTCCAGAACCAGACCTTCTTGAAAGAATTTATCTTTGTTGGATTTCCCCAGAACATGCAGATGTGTATTTTATTTTTTGTTGCATTATTCCTGTTGTATATTTTTACAATTTTTGGAAATGTTTTTCTTATCGCTGCCGTTTTCACCAGTCCTAAGCTTCACCTGCCGATGTACTTTTTCCTCTGCAATCTCTCATTCATAGACTTGTGCTACTCATCCAGCTCTCTTCCAAAGCTATTATCAGCTATATTTTCCGTTAGAAGGACAGTCTCCATCATCGGCTGTCTGGTGCAAATGTACAGTGCGGTATACCTAGGAAGCGCTGAGTCCTTTTTATTGGCGGTGATGGCGTATGATCGTTATATGGCAATAGTCTTCCCCTTGTATTATAACACCATTATGAACTGGATAGTCTGTAGAAACATAATAATAATAAAATGGGCGGGGAATTTTTTCCTATCAGTCGTCCCTTTTATTTCAAGGCCTCCGGTATTTTGTACAGCAAATAAACTGGACCATTTTGCTTGTGAGATGTTGGCGGTTCTAGAGCTAGCCTGCGGAAATCTCGCCTTTTATAAACTAACTATACTTGTTGTGAGTTTTTTCACACTTGTACTACCACTTCTGTTCATCGTGGTGTCTTACGTTCTTATCATTTCATCGATATTAAAGATCCGGTCTACTGGTGGAAGATCCAAAGCCTTTTCCACCTGTGCTTCTCACCTGACTGTTGTCTCTGTTTTATGGAACGAGTATCAGCATGTATATGGGGCAAGTGAAAAGTTTTTCTTCAAATCTGAAATATATTTCTCTCATTTACGGTGTTATTACTCCCGTGTTAAATCCTTTGATCTATAGTTTGAGAAATAAAGATGTGAAAGAGGCATTTCAGAATATGTTTGTAAGGGTCATCCACTAGTTCTCCCATAACACCGAAGAGAAATTTAACAGATTGGAAACCACCAGTTCAAAACAAAGTTTTGCTCTTTAACCACTAAATGCCTGTGGTGTAAAATTCCCTTCCTGTGCTGGTCAGTATTCAGCACTGTGATAATTTGGCTAACAATTACTCGGGCATTCAACATTGTACCCACGTGAAATTTATATCTTTTTTTTTAAGGGAGGCAGAGATTTCGTTTGGTGGCATGTAATCTTTATGTTTTATTATACTGCAAAAAGGGAAAAAAGACCTTAACCCCTTCCCACCTATTGCTTGCTCACCCTTTAAGAGTTCTAAACGCCAGGAAGCAGAGGTGGGCATTAAGGACATGTGACCGCTGTCACATGATTGGAAAGCTCCCAATCGCAAGTTTGCATCGGGAGCTTACCAATCCCCGCTGGCTACCATGCTGGGAACGTGCAGGGAGAGCGTTCTCAGCAAGGTAAGTTGTTTACAAAGTGTAACGGAACCGGACCGTGACTGCACTAGGGTATTTCCATTAGACTCCCGCTTCCCTGTCCAAACACAGATCCACGGACACCACTGCTGGCCATACGAGACTAGACAAGACCAGTCTTGAAATAAATCAGGAAATAGAATACTTTATTTTAACACAGATACAAGATATATATACACAGGGTGGGGCAATACACACCCAGTAATGAGACACATCAGCAGACAGTCCCATCAGGGAGAAGGGCTGCTGGAAACACCCCCCACCAAGCCAATACACAAACACATACATCCCATAATAGTTTGCTCCCAAGCAAGACGCACAATAGAACAATGGGATACAACCACATAGCATTAAACAATGAACAACCCCCCACCCCACCTATTCATGTCTACACAATATTTAGACATATCACTCTGCACCCCTAACAGGCACAGGGTGACTTACACATAAGAGGGATATGGGGAGCTGAGACAGGGGTCTCCCCACCTCTCCAAAGTGAGCTGTGTTCCATGGGCCCCCCACCCAAAGTGACTACCGTCACACAAAGGGTTGCATATATGTGGCCACTCTGCGTTAAGGCCCACCCATGTGGCCACGCATATGCATACAGCTGGCGTGAAAAGGTTACATTTTGAAATACATTCTGAAAACTAAAAGTTTCTCTTAGTTTTGGTTATTTTGGTTGGAAAACTTTGCAAATAAATCTTTCTGCACAAATTTAGGCCAAAATGTATTCAACAATGTGTTGGTTAAAATAAAAAAGTGTTTATTATTTAGACTGTGTGAAAGTCTACAAACTATGGTAAATATGGCGCTCAGCATAAATGAGTAATTTGAAAAGTAAGATTTTAATCAATATCTCAATGAACACAAGAACAATTTCCAACATTTTGACAAAACTATGTTTTATAGAACATTTATTTTTCTCAGTACATGAAAGTAAAGTTAATTATATAACTTAGATTACAAAATCTTCGGTTTTGATCAAATTAGTTGGTACAAAAATAATACCCCAGAAAAAAATACCACATCTAGTATTTTGTATGACCCCAATGATTTGTTAGGATGATTTGTTAGGATTGGGTAAGTAAATTTTTTTAAACAAGTCCCTAGACTTAAATGAGCAATCGGCCTTGTAGTGCGAGTGTAGCCCCACTGCAAGGGATAATTTCTAGGTTCCAGAACTGGGCCTTAATTATATAAAAGAGAAGTAAACATATGTTTATATAGAGCATGATATAATAATTTATATTCATGACAAAAGTGTGAAGCTATACATGTGTGTTGGGGAATTTTTTTCATTTGTCAATTTCTGTCTAACTGACATCTCTTCCTTCATGGCCTATCTCTTTCTCTACAGCATACAACAAAAATAGTTTGTTTTGAACACCCATTTTTGGAGAGCAGGTTTAATCTACCAAGCTGCACTGCAACCATACCTGATACTTGAGTTACCCATGACTTAGAATGCTCAGTTGTGACTAGCCAAACTGACTAGCTTCTCTTTATCAAAATTTCAGCCAAAAATTAGCAAATTTCCATATATTTGCTAAATGCACTGGAATCAACAAGGGAGTTGAATGTTGGGTAGTTTAATGTTTTAGAGCTTTAAATGGCCCATGATTATATTTTGTCTATGTATCAAAAACCTCCTCTAAAAGTCCAGCAATTCCACTTGTGCAGTGCAAAACAACATTTTTTTTAAATTATAGAAATAAAATCGAAAATTCAAACATCAAAAGACAATCAAAAACGCTTACATTCTGGCCAAGAAACACAGTTTAAACAACCTCCAAACCTAACCCTCCAACTCCATGTATCCTTGTAAATATTAACCATTCATGTATATTTCTATAGTTAGACTTTTCCTTTACTCACAAAGCACCTTCCAGCTTCTACCTACACCTCCCTCTATGTCTCTCTGCTTTTTTAAAGTGCACTCTATTCCTCTTCTTTCTCCAGTTTCTCCAGAGTATTTCAGTCATTTACCGGCCTCCTGGCCCTGTGTCATGCTTTCTTAAAGACTTCTGCATGGCTATCCTACTTTCTCTCCTCTGAAATACCCGCCATCAACCTTGCTAATATTAAGATTCCAGCCAATGTTAACACCTCAGCCATTTCTCAATGACTCAAACTAATGTCCTCTTTTAACCTACAGTAAAACAATGGATGCAAACTGCCACTCCAATGGCAACACCCTTGACCTTGTAATCTCCCACCTCTGCACTCCCTGCAACCTCTCCAACATCCCTTTTCCTCTCTCTGATCACAACCTTATCAGTCTCATACTCTTCCTGTCTCCATCCTCCTATGCCTCCAACCAGCAAACAGTTACCTGTAGAGATCTTCACCACCTCAACCCTTCCCTTCATCCTGCTATTGACTGCCTTTATGACAAAATCCCTTGCCCCTTGTCCTACCCAGACCTGGCCACTTTTGTGTACCCCAGTATGTCCGGTTAGCTTCTACTCTGTCTGCCTTTAGGTGATCCTTGAAATCTCATTTATTCAGGGAAACCTACCCCACCTCCACCTAAAACCTGTACTTGGGTCAACTCCATTAGATCAAGGCTAGCCCAAATTTACCATAGACAAAAGTACAGGCTGGGGCTTTACTACAAGAATTAAGATACTGCAACAGTGTAACATCTGACAGAAGCAGGATAGTTTTAATAATAATAATAATAATAATAATATAATAGAATAAAAATAAAATAATACATTATTATAACTAATAAGTGTATAGTGTACTAGCTTGTATTTTATTTATTGGGATGGGGGCATGCAGTGAATGTGAGTGATGTAAGATGTTTAAGATGCATACTGTTCTTGCACGTTTTTCCTTTCAAATGATGCAGCCATGTTCAACAACCAAGTACAGATGTATTTCGCAAAACAAGTTGCCTTAATAGGCTGGATATTTTTAAATGGTAACAAGAGTCCTTATGCCACTGGTTAAAAGAACAATCATGTTTTTAAAAAGATTAGAAAATCCTATTACATAAAATACAAGACAATAACAACACTATCCTCTCACAACACCTCATATGCAGATATTGATCAGTTAGGGTCCAACATTCGAACCTAACAAAAGTTTGACTGCGAGGGGACAATGCACTAAGCGGTATCTTACTTCATCTGAGTATGTGGTAAGATACAGAACAGCTACTAAAAACATTATTTCATGTTTCAGCTATCATCAGGGTTCTGCTGCATGCTTGATGTCAAAACAATTGCTGGGATTGCCCTGTGATTAAATAAATAACAATTAAAAAAAAACACGTGGGGTCCCCCCATTCATACCAAGTCCTTCAGGTCTGGTATGGCTTTTGAGGGGAACCCCCATGCCAATTTTATTTAAAAAATGGCATGGGGGTCCCCTCAAAATCCATACCAGACCTTTATCCAAGAATGCAGCCTGGCAGGTCAGAAAAGGGGAGGGACGAGCGAGTGCCCCCCTCCAATCCTGAACCATACCAGGCCACATGTCCTCAACATGGGTGCTTTGGTGTGGGGGTTCCCCCCAAAGCACCTTGTCCCCATGTTGATGGGGGACATCACAAACCGAGGCTGGTGGTTGTGGGGGGCTTATTGGAAGCTGGAAGCCCTCTTTAACAAGCCCCCCAGATCCCACCCCCCAATGTGAATGAGTATGGGGTACTTTGTACTGCTACTCATTCACCAAAAAAAAAAAAGTGTAGTGTAAAAATTGACAGTAGACAGTCTTTGACAAGTCCTTTATTAAAAACCAAAGGTAAAAAAATGTCCCCTAAGTAGATCCAATATCAATCACGATGCCTGCCACCACTGCCGACCCGGAAAAAGAAAGAAAATGCTCTGCTCTCGATGCTGGCTACTGGCTGTCTGACATCTGTGCCGGGATGACAGTTCTTAAATATAGTGATGACATCACATGGGGGCCCACCCTATATGATATTATCATGCACTGTAAATGGCCAAAGCATTGCACCTGACCTGGTCAGGTGCATTGCTTTGGCCAATCACAATGTACTGTCAGGGCACAGTGCGGGCAAACAGCCCACAGAACGCCCTTATCATTAGTGAGTTCGCCGCACACACGAACGGCCGATGGAATCTTCGGTGAGGCGGAATTCTTTATGGGTTTCATTGAACCTTCAACTTCCTCAGGAGTACCTTACTAGGTCTTTTGCAGGAGGTAAAAAAATAATGGGTCAACAGGGCCAACAAGTTATAAAACTATGTTCGGGGGGGGGGGGGGGGACTAATGTAACACTGCTGTGTTAATGGTTCTGACAGACTGCATGACATATATAATTATTTTTTTCCTATAGTTTAACTTTGAAGTGTAAGTTCACCTTTTGCTAAAAATTCCCCTTTGCAATTCTATAACCAATGACTAGTACAGCTCTTTTCTTGTAAATGGTGCCGGTCCTGCAGATCCTGGGGGCCTCTGAGCTTAGCTAAAAAAGAATACCACACA